TGCGATTCTAGGACCTAGGATGCTAGTGTGGAGGTTGGATGGAAGGTAGTGTTCGAATTCCATAGTAGAATGTTGTCACAGCAGACTCAACGAGGAGCTGGTTCCGGTGCAAACTGTGTCGGCTCAGGTTCGGTTTGGCTAAAGTGGTAACGACACGAGGAATTGCACCCAGCCATGCAGCACCCAGCCATACGTCACCTCAACAGGACACCGATTGTGCCCTGAGCAGGACGCACCTGATCGGGCAGAATGGTCAACGGCAAAGACGACGAAATGGCCGCCCGGAAGGGTACATGGCAAATGGATATTGCCTCGCAACAAGTACAGAATGAGGATAAGGAGCTAAATCTGGTGAGGAGCAGGGAGGGAACAAGCATGGGGAAAGGAGCAGAGGGAACAAGGAGCAGGGATTGAGCTATCCTTTCAGCAGCGTCGATGACTTGTGAGAGCTGTCAAAAGCGGCGATGATGATGACGGTGCCGTTGCTCGTCATATTGACTCGCCATCGCCAGCTGCTCGTGCAGCTTCGACGCCCGCGATGCTCGGGAGGCCGCCTCTCGCAACCTACAATTTCGGCACTCGCAAAGCAGTTGGCGACGCACGGGACACTCGCTCGACTCGCCGTCGCCAATAGGAAACATTAGGGATGACCGCCAACAGCGTTAGTGCTACTATCGCTGACTGGGCGAAGTTTATGTTTCTATTAAGACTATCCAACGAGCAGGTGGAAGAATCATGGCCAGGAAAGTAAGAAATTGGCAGGAAGCTGCGGGAGGGAGGCCGCCAGAATAGAGCGCCGTTTCTTTCTCTGATGCCTCCTGCTGTCAATTGCGCATTCGTGCCTTTTGCGGCGGCGCCGTCGCGCAGGAGGGATTGTGGAAGGGCGAAGAAGGATGGGGAGTGGGGAGGAGGTGCGAAAGTGATGTCCCCTTCGTAATACGAATGTTCTACCACGTTCTGACATCCTGTAGCTAGTACGGATTAGCATCACATGCAAGTGCCATCTTGCCGATTTTCTAGTCAACTTGAAATTCGCACGATGGAACTCTATCAACTCTACCATATCGTTTTTGAGCACTTCACGATTTAAGGTCGCGATAAGGCAGGTCGCGGGCTGAGCAGTAAGTAGTTCGCTATGTCGCCAGGTCGCCAAATCGCTGGTCGCTAGTGCCAATAATCCTCTTCAATAGCTACTTGATCTTTGTATACTGGAAGATTTGCCGTAGGGTCCATTAGGGTTTCGATTCGTTCCGTTACTGTGAGAGAGAATGAAGAGGTCGGTGTTCGTCAAACAGGGTCAGCTGCTGTCCTGATTCGTCTAAGTCGCAGACCTGGCGGGATTTTTTGGAAACCGGACACGCCCTGCTGGCTTGTCACCCTGGAAATCGCGAGAGAATGGTAACTTGACAATCCATTCGCATCTGTCGGGATCCACACCACAATCCACGGCTGAATGGGAGGTCGCAACTCGCAAATTCCACGTCACCAGCCCTGGTTGGGATGTTGGAGCCACGCAAGAGATCTGCAAAAGAAATTTTGGCTAGGAACTGGGCGATCGTCATCGCCCTCAACTCCCACCCTCACCTCCCTGCTGTTGTCTTCTCCACTTCATTTCCTAGCTTAGTAGCTTCCTCTCGGATTCCTCGTCTGCACTCCTGGTAACACTAGTTTTTTTGGTTTAACCGTCTACAGATATTAGGCTGTAGAATTAGGCTCGGCTTTGTGACGCACACAAGTTCACAAACGATTAAAAACAACCATTTCCTGGAATCGCTGCACCTCGATGGCAACTTCGGACGGCGCGGGGCGCGTCATTCGGCTCAGCTTACTCATCTTTCTGACGTGTCTCGCCGTGGTTTCTCCAGTCCGCTGTGTCCCGTTCGTCGACTCCCAAGGTTCGTCGACTCCCAAGGTTCGTCCGACGAACCTTTTGTTTCACCCCCGTGCTATGTACTTGTTCTGCTACATATAGAGCTGTATAGAGCAAATTGTAACAAGATGGGATTCGCCATGCCTGCGTGCATGGGAATACCCGAACGGTTGGAACCGCCCTTTGCCTAGGTAGCTCCCTTTCCCTTATCCTCGTCAGTGATTAGATGTTACTAGAATCCAGCAGGACATGGCATCGAGGCGTTATGCCAAGATGCCATGCTAGATTGAGTGGCGATACGGTTTTCCCCCAAGTCGCCATCCCTTCTTCCTAGCATTAATATCCACCTCAAAATCTTGTATTATAATCTCATCCTATTCTATCCTTGGAGTCTTTAATCCTATCTTTTTGAAAGTCTTCTTCTCTCTTCTCTCATCCACGTCTCCAGAGCTGGGCTTCTCCCTCCAGCCTTGCTCCCTTTTCTTCTGCTGCAAGACTCTCTTCTTATTCTTTCTTAGCTAAGGCGCCTCTCCTTAGGCGCTAGGCCGGCCAGGCCAGCCGCGCCGTGCATCGCTGCGCCGTAGCTCCTGTTTCAAAATTGAATGTAGCAGAACCTAATAGTACATAGTATGGGGGCCAACAATGTTGGGATCCTTGAAAAACGAACTTAGCAATCAGTGGCCCGCCCTCGACCCCCACCACCTAATCTTCCTATATCTGTTGCGCTGATAAATCTCATGTCTTCTGGATCCTTGGTGACGGTAGTATGATGCATTCCAGCAAGGGTTCCATGGAGGCTCACACACCACGATGGCACCACCATGACGCGGACGCATTCGGCTTGGTTGCCAGCGTGCGTCACACTGATCTACGGAGTTTCTGCTGTGTTTCCTTTGGTTGAGCTCATGCCGCACGAGCAAAATGTCATGCACGACTATTGTGGGTTCAGGTTCAGCAATGGCACCAACCTTGCCACGGCGGCGGATCATCAAAGTCAAGTGATGCCATCAGCGATAGCGATGAGCATGAAAGTGGGCCAGAGCCCGCCCGAAAATGCCCCGGGCCGGGCATCATAAGAGGCGGGCCGGGCGGGCCGCATCGGAGCGCAAAAATACAACAGAAACAGCCGAAAAATACATCCTGTGGGCGATTATGACAGCACCCAGGCCGGGCCGGGCCGGCCCGGGTCGGGCCATGCAGAGCCCGGGTCGGGCCGGGCACGGCCCGCCCGCCTTGAGGGCGGGCTCGGGCCAAGAGTTTCCTTCTATGGCCCGGGTCGGGCCAGGCCAGCCCGGCCCGCTTTTTTGCGCAGCCCGGGGTGGGCCCGACCCGGGCCGGGCCCGGCCCGCCCGGTGCTCAACAATAGCCTATCGCATGTATCCATCAGAATCGTGTTTCTATTAGAATAGTTTTCCAACGCCTGGTGTTTAGAAGCTTGTGCGCCAATTTCAAGTTTGACATTGCACCTCTCTGCTCTACTGATGTCTGGTGCAGGGGTTGAAAGAGGGAGGGAAAGCCATACGAAGCGTTGATGAGCTGATACATTCATCTCTTCTTTTTCCTGCTCCATTGCAGCCTCTCTCCTACCTGCTAGCGCAATCAGTGCAACTCCTGCTGGCTGGAACTCCAGCAAGCCAGGGGGGGGATTTGATGTATGGGTGACTTGCTGCCATGGATGGTTGCAGCAATACCAGGGCGTTGTGGCTCATTTACGACCACGAGTACTAGTATTCGTAGTAAAATAACTTGGTGGAGTGCCTAAAAGAGCTCACGAATGCTCATGCCCAACTATATATACCTCCTATTTGACCTCGTTACTGTTTACACCTCTATGTCGTTATCAACGGATAAGTCAGTGGCCACTGCATGCCCATGCTCCCATGCGCACAATGCTTATTGTTGTGGCACTTTTAATCTGCGAGTCACAGTAGTTACTTCACCATCGCATGCGTCCATTCCGCACTTGTGGCACAGGCTGATGAGTGAGGGAGGAAGAGAAGGGTGCAACACGTAGGTGATGAGAGCCAATTTATCCCTCCTCTGTTCCCTGCCCCAGCTTCTATCCTTCTCTTGCCCTCCTGCACCCCTCTCCCCCACCATTTGCCGCCAGTGCGAGTCCTGCAGGACTTGCAGCAAGCCTGCATCACAAAAATCCTGCGTCCAGAAAACCTTTGAAAAGAGTTGCTTTAAAGCTTTGTTGAATGATTTATAAACGTCTTGTTTGGTACGATATTTTGAGAAAGTATATACCTTCTTCTGGATGCTTTGCCGAACGCTGTTCGCATGCTTCTGCGATGCTTGTGTGTTCAAACCTCTCAGGTGAAAACCTTCGGCAGAAGTTTGGTTGGAGTTTCCGCAGAGTAATTTCGGAGATTGGATCTCATTGCATTGTACTCTTCAAGGACATCCGGTTTAGTTATAATGAAGTTGGATTGGAGACTTGCAATGGTTAACATGTTGTTTAACAAGATGTTTAGTTGCCTCAAATGACCATTACTGAAGCGTCCAAAATGACCATTACTGAAGCGTTGGTAAATGGGTTTTATTCTCAACAAAAAAGGCACATACGTACAAGAGCATCCTACACCCCACCCTCTCTAGTCAAAGACCCCCGCCTCTTAGGGTGATCTGCATCAACCTGCTTCTCATGCTCCCGTACACTATGCCTCCCACTACACCCCATGTCTCGTGCTCTAGGCCGAGCATGCTCGCCCCTACACCTAGCCCCCATGATCCATGCCTTGGCTGCGACCCCACTTCCTGCCTCTCTTCCTGCATCTCCCATCCCTCCTTCACTAATTGTGGTACTATTGCCCTGCCCGTGCGTCCACTGCTTCCTCGCATGTCCAGCCCTGTCATGCGTCTGCTGCTCCGCCTTAGACATCCTCCAGTCAAGCCTTTACTGCTGCTTGCTTTGTCCTATCCGGTCATGCCTATACTGCTGCGGCCCTTGCACCACTCCCCTCCGTAATGCTGTCCCCCTTTCTCTATCCACACGTGCCTTCCCTGATGCCCCCCTTGCTGTCTCCACCAATGCCTCTCCTCGCACGTATGTGATGCCTCTCCTGCTGTCCCCTTTTGTAAACTCCACGCATGCCTCATCTGCATCCCCCCTTGTCTCGTCACACCATCATTTGGCCCTCTTGCCTCCCCTTCTTTTGCCATTTTCGTGCCTTTTGCCCTTCCTCCGCTCCTGGCCCCCCTGCTTCTCATCCTCATCCTCATCCTCTTCCTCCTCTTTCTCCTCTTCCTCCTCTTCCTCCTCTTCCACTTCCCTCCAACCTCCCTTGCCTCTGCCTCTCTTGTGCTTTCTACCCTTCCTCCGCGACTGGCCCCCCTGTTTCTCATCCTCCTGCTCCTCCTCTTCCTCATCTTCCTCCACTTCCTCTTCCCTCCTGCTTCCCTGCCCTCTGCCTCTCTTGTGCTTCCTGCCCTTCCTCCGCTCCTGCCCCCCCTGTTTCTTATCCCCCAGCTCCTCTTCCTTCTCCTCTTCCTCGTCCGCTTCCCTCCTGCCTCCCCTGGTTTTCCCTCCCTTGTGCCTTCTGCCCTTCCTAAGCTCTTGCCCCCCCCGTTTCTCATCCTCTTCCTCATCCCTCCCGCCTGCCCTAGGTCTCTTGTGCCTTTTCCTCTTCCTCTGCTCCTGCCCCCACTGTTCCTCGTCCTCCTCCTCCTCCTCCTCCTCCTCGTCCTCCTCCTCGTCATCCTCCTCCTCCTCCTCCTCCTCCTCCTCATCCTCCTCCTCCTTATCCTCCTCCATGTCCTCCGAGTCGTACACCTCCTTTTCTTCCTCCTTCAGGTCCTTCGTTTCGGCATCAAGCTCAGCCTTCCCCCGGAAGGCCTCAAATCCTGACTCGTGAACATACAGCCCACGGTCGCCCCACTTGAAGCCCTTCATGTCTGTGTTGTACACGGGGGTGTGGCGTGTGAAGTGGTCCTTGATAATCCACCGCACATTACGGTGCAAACCCCCCATCCATTCACTGTTCTTCCGGTGGGAGTTGGAGACGTTCCAGTCAGTCCTCTTAACCTTTGATAGGCCCTGGTCAATCTGAAAAGGCATAGCACAGTATGGGATGGAGGAAAAACACCAACTTCAGGGGACACTCGCGTGCAGAGTTTAGAGGCTGCGCTAAATGCCCCACATACCATGCCGAGGGACTATAAAACAGCATGCCAAGCTAGAGCATACCATGGGTTGAGCAATAATTGCGTACCACCATGATTGACCAGGCAATGTGGTATGCTTTGACGCACACCCGGCGCCCGACACAGAAATTCCGAAATGCTTCCCGGACCGCATCTACAAACCGGCCGTTGGCAAACGGGAGCCCGTCTCTGTTGTTTCCCCACGAGCTGACCCGCTGTTTCCCTCCTGCGCGCATGTATGAGAATGCGGGGAAGCATGAGACATCCGTGATCATGCATGACTCATGGTTTAGGGTTGTCCAAAGGGTATGGATGAACATCGAGGACGGGGGGGAATGAATGGCGAGAGGGCGGGAGAGTAGGGGTGGGCGGGAGATAGGGGGAGGGCGGGAGAGAAGGGGAGGGCGGGAGAGAAGGGGAGGGCGGTAGAGGAAGGGAGGGCGGGAGAGAAGGGGGTGGCGGGAGAGAAGAGGAGGGCGGGAGTTAAACGGGGGGCGGGAGAAGGGGAGTGTGGGAGAAGAACCAACGGATGGCTGTCATGCGGATGTGTTTGCACATGCGCTACAAGCATGGGCGAGGAGAGCAGGTATGTAGTCGCGTGCCAAAGTGGGGATGCATTGGGGGTACGTGCTTCATCAACGTGGGGCATGCACGAGGGGTGCATGAGCAGACATGTCAATAGGGGATGGAAAACAGTCACGCAAGTACTCACTCGGTTGGTATTTTTTCCACATCTTCCGCTTCTTCTTGGTGCCCATCCACAGTTCGGCTGCACGCAGGCCTTCCACCTTGTTGCCGAAAGTGACGAGCACTCTGCGCTTGAGGTGGAAGCCACGTTCGTTCTTCCATGACGTCCAGGCGCGTTTAAAAGCGCCTATGATGTTTTTGTCTTCCATAGCCTCTCGCAGCTGCATCATGTTGATGATGTGCGTCTCGCTGATAACCTCATACAACACCTGCACGCGCTGTTCGAGCGTTGGGTAGAAGTCTATGGCATGGTCTGGCGCCTCGAGGCACATCCGGTCCCGCCCCTCTGCGAAATGAACCTACGACAGCCGGATGGATAGGAAAAAAGGATATGTGGGTGACTCCCAAAGAAGGGCGGAAACCAGAGGTCGAGAGAGTGGGATTTGGGTAACACGTGCCGCAGGCCACCCACACCACCACCAGCACCATGAACAGGGGCTCTGGTTGAGGTAGGGGAGAGAAGGGAGATAGAGGGGGGAGAGAGGGGATGAACTAGTCTGAGTGAAATCATATGGGAGAGGGAGCAGAGTGTGAGAGCACCGTACGGACTGCGTAAGGGGTCATGTTCTCCTCGTACTAAGAGTCACAACCCCCGCTGCAGCCCGGCCCGCTACACGCTTGCGCCGCATGCCACACACGCGACCAGAAGCACCGTTTAGAGGGGCTCTGGAAGAGGAGGGAGAGGGGTGGGATAGAGGGGGGGGGGGGGGGGGGGGGGGGGAGCAAGCGGAAAGAAGGGATTGGGCACGTGGGGATGACAGAGAGTGCTGCTGCTATCTCTGCGCCGCATGCCACCCACACCAGACCAGCAGCACTGTTTAGAGGGGCTCTGGAAGAGGAGGGAGAGGGGTGGGATAGAGAGGGGGGGGAGGAGCAAGCGGAAAGAAGGGATTGGGCACGTGGGGATGACAGAGAGTGCTGCTGCAATCTCTGCGCCGCATGCCACCCACACCAGACCAGCAGCACCGTTTAGAGGGGCTCTGGAAGAGGAGGGAGAGGGGTGGGATAGAGAGGGGGGGGGAGGAGCAAGCGGAAAGAAGGGATTGGGCACGTGGGGATGACAGAGAGTGCTGCTGCAATCTCTGCGCCGCATGCCACCCACACCAGACCAGCAGCACCGTTTAGAGGGGCTCTGGAAGAGGAGGGAGAGGGGTGGGATAGAGAGGGGGGGGGGAGGAGAAAGCGGAAAGAAGGGATTGGGCACGTGGGGATGACAGAGAGTGCTGCTGCTATCTCTGCGCCGCATGCCACCCACACCAGACCAGCAGCACCGTTTAGAGGGGCTCTGGAAGAGGAGGGAGAGGGGTGGGATAGAGAGGGGGGGGGAGGAGCAAGCGGAAAGAAGGGATTGGGCACGTGGGTATGTCAGAGAGTGCTGCTGCTATCTCTGCGCCGCATGCCACCCACACCAGACCAGCAGCACCGTTTAGAGGGGCTCTGGAAGAGGAGGGGGAGGGGTGGGATAGAGAAGGGGGGGGGGGAGGGGGGGAGCAAGCGGAAAGAGGGGATTGGGCACATGGGGATGACAGAGAGTGCTGCTGCTATCTCTGCGCCGCATGCCACCCACACCAGACCAGCAGCACCGTTTAGAGGGGCTCTGGAAGAGGAGGGGGAGGGGTGGGATAGAGAGGGGGGGGGGGGGGGGGAAGCAAGCGGAAAGAAGGGATTGGGCACGTGGGGATGACAGAGAGTGCTGCTGCTATCTCTGCGCCGCATGCCACCCACACCAGACCAGCAGCACCGTTTAGAGGGGCTCTGGAAGAGGAGGGAGAGGGGTGGGATAGAGAGGGGGGGGGGGGGAGCAAGCGGAAAGAAGGGATTGGGCACGTGGGGATGACAGAGAGTGCTGCTGCTATCTCTGCGCCGCATGCCACCCACACCAGACCAGCAGCACCGTTTAGAGGGGCTCTGGAAGAGGAGGGAGAGGGGTGGGATAGAGAGGGGGGGGGAGGAGCAAGCGGAAAGAAGGGATTGGGCACGTGGGGATGACAGAGAGTGCTGCTGCTATCTCTGCGCCGCATGCCACCCACACCAGACCAGCAGCACTGTTTAGAGGGGCTCTGGAAGAGGAGGGGGAGGGGTGGGATAGAGAGGGGGGGGGGAGCAAGCGGAAAGAAGGGATTGGGCGTGTAGGGATGACAGAGAGGGCTGCTGCTATCTCTGCGCCGCATGCCACCCATACCAGACAAGCAGCGCCATGAACAGGGGCTCTGGAAGAGGATGTGGAGTGACGGGAGAGAGGGGGGGGGGGGAGGAAATAGAACAGTTATGGTGAGCTCGGAGAGGTGGGGCAGAGTGTGAGAGTATCGTACGCCCAGCGCCAGCGTCCCTGAAGCGGGGCGTACTGGGAGAGCCTATCACACCGCAGCCAGGCCGCTATCACTGCGCATAATGGTACAAACACTCTGACCAGCATAAAGAGGTGGGGGGAACGAGGTGTTGAGAGAGAGAGCTGCAGCTATCACTGAGCCCCATGCCACACCTTGCTTAACACTTAAACATACCCACCTTCAGCAGCTTGGGCTTGGGCATCCCACGCGTTCGACGGACCGGTACGTCTACCGTCGATGGGCTTTCTGGCGCCACGCCTGGATCGAGGCCCACTGCAGATGGGCCGCTCGACAGAGACGCAATACGAGGAGGCCTAGACGGAGGGGTGCAGGGTTTGACAGGTCCTTTGGCTCCTGGCCTTGCCTTGAGTGCCGCAATTTCGCGATCCCGCTGGGCAAGCTCCCAAATGAGCTGCTCCACCGTCTTGCCGCCAGCCACATTGGGCCGACTGGATGCGCCAGGTGTGCCCATGCTCTCGCCCCTCCCCTCCTTAGTCGCCGGATCCATTTTCAAGTCTCGTCCTTCTCCCCTGCTATCCCGTACATCCCACATGGAGCCTTCCACACCGCCGCCACATTCACCCAAGGAATTCGCCCACACACCTCCTCCCACACCGTCATTGGCTGCTGCGGCGGCCGAGGGTTCGTGCCGCTTCGTTGCTCCCTCGATTTTCACCTGAACCGCGTGACCCCCCGAAAGCTTTGCATGCGGGTCCGTCGCTTCCGTGCCAAACCGCGCTGACCCCCAAGCGATCGGATCTCCCTTCCCAGACGAATCCATCTGCTCGCGTAACGCAGCATACGTGTCGGTGGCTTTCCAATCATGAGGGCTTGATGGACATCGTTGCCCCATGGACTCGTAAAAATCCAACTCCCGCTTCTCCTTGCTACGCACACCCACAATTTTAGCTTCGAATCGAGGTCTCTAGCGCTTGCCATGTGGTTTGGCATGACGCACACTCTGCTTATAGCTCTTCACCCGTCCTGTCTCCGGTTTTCGCTTTCCATTGCCCTTCTTGGTCTTCCGCACACCCCTCCTCTTCAAAGGCCGAGCCTCCTCCGCATCCTCGCTCTCCGGCTCCAACTCCTCATCCTCCTCTTCCTCTTCCTCCTCCTCCTCGTCCTCGTATACTTCCTCACTCCCGGATGAGCTGCCTGACTCACTGTCACTGGATCCCTCCTCCGAACCCGACGAGCTCGAAACATACTGTTTCGTCCCTTGTCGAGCTTGTCTCGCATTTCGGTCGCGACCGGCCGAGTTCACAGCATTGCGTCGTTTGTACGGAATCACAGCTTCACGTCCATGTTCTTTCCCAGCAGTCACTACCGCAGGCTTGTCCTCATCCTGATCGATACCGCCACCACCTCGCTGCTCTGCTAGCCCTGCAGCGAGAGGGATATGAGAGAGACAATCTCGGTGTCACGTCACTCACGACATAGTTGCTGGTGCAACAGGTAACAATATACAAGGAGGGTGGCAGCGAAGGCTATGCAACCTCAAAATCAACGACAGAAGTAGCCAGGAACCGCCAACCTTCTATAACGGGCCTGGGCAGCGCCTGCTCGTCGCCACCAGCCACATCCAGCGAGAGCCTCCCCGAGGGACTGCCCTTGGCCGCCGCCGCTGCCTTCTCGTTGTTGCGCTTTCCACCACCACGCCCTTCAAGCTCGCCATGTTCCTGCTCGTCGCCACCAGCCACCTCCTGCGAGAGCCTCCCCGAGGGACTGGCCTTTGCCGCCGCCGCCTTCGCATTGTTTCGCTTTCCACCACTACGCCCTTCAAGCTCGCCATGTTCCTGCTCGTTGCCACCAGCCACGTCCTCCGAGAGCCTCCCCGAGGGACTGCCCTTGGCCGCCGCCGCTGCCTTCTCGTTGTTGCGCTTTCCACCACCACGCCCTTCAAGCTCGCCATGTTCCTGCTCGTCGCCACCAGCCACCTCCTGCGAGAGCCTCCCCGAGGGACTGCCCTTTGCCGCCGCCGCCTTCACGTTGTTGCGCTTTCCACCACCACGCCCTTCAAGCTCACCATGTTCCTGCTCGTCGCCACGCGCAGACATTCCTAGGCGGCCAGATGGACTGCCATGATACTCCGCAGCCCTCCCGCTACGGTCATAACATCTACCGCATTGTCCTGCACGCCTGCCTGCTGACGGAGCTGCGAGGGCGGACATCACAAGAACATTAGCAGTCCAGTGCACGCTAACCTTAATTGCACGAAGTGGCATCAGTATGATCAGTCGATGCAGGGAGTAACGTGCTACTTAGGAACCGGCGATATTACACAAACACGCACCTTCTTTGACGGGTCCGCCGTCCTCGACCTCCTCGTCGCCTTCAGACGCAGCATGGGAAGTAGTGCCTCTCTTTTGTTGACGGCGCTTACGCCCCTTTCGGTTGTCACGCTTGTCCTCTGACAATGTTACGGGGGAGCACAATCGGAGCTTCAGTAACGGGAACAAGTCAAACACGACGGCAAACCGCACTTACTGGATCGGTCGGAGGTAATTAATCATGCAAGTCTACCTTTCAGCAGATGGTACCAAAGACACGTACCTTTCTGGCCGGCTTTGGGACCGATGTCATCTAAGCGCCTCACGCGCCTCTCCTTTGGTTTTGGAGGGGAGGACACGCCCTTGTTAGCGTATGCCCCAACATCGCCATCGCTATTTGATTCGTCACCAGATGAAGAGTCCCGTCCTGACTCAACGTCATCACGCGCCGACGACGCATTGTACTTGCGGTACTCGTTAACGATCTCGGCGGTTTTATCTACTGTAACTAACTCCATATAAATTTTTTCCTCCGGCAATTTCGACGAGTCTGCCAAAACGATCGCCCCATTGGGCCCCTTAATCGTCTGACTATCCATTGCAATGTCTAGGTTTCCATTCACGCAGTAGTCTGAGGTGTGTGTTAGTTATGACGTTGCAACCTGACGGCTACGCTTCGCGCACTAAAAAATTGTTGAGCATAGAAGGGACGAGGATCAGACAGGGGCCTGGAGCAGATGACCGTCCCACAAGCAGGCACGCAAGAGGAGCACGGAGGTGACGAGGGTTTGAGTGTTTCCTGCTCTGTTCCACCTTGCGACATCCAGGTCCCTCGTTTCCCCAAACAACCAATCACACGGTGGTTAACGTGCATCCATAAAAAAATTGAGGCTCCAATGGGGCATGATTAAGTGGGAGTGGGCGTTTATCCGTCCAGTAGCGGCAGGGAGCGATACAAAATGTTGCTAGTGCTTAAACGTGCGCTAGTGTATTAGGGCTCACGAAAGATATCTATTCTGCCCGCACAGACTTTATGTGGCTAATTTTCATAGTCTTCCACGCGTGCCTCACGAAGCTTGGCGCAGGCGTCACGTCAATAGTAAAATCGCCACTTCGGAGAAACGGGGACGAACCATTGGCGCAATTCGTACAGCGATGCGACAGCCTGATACGAAGCCGTTATGGAACACCTGCGATAAGAACGCATGCTCGGGAGTTAGTTGTGAGTGGTGGCGATTGGGTCGCAAGTCGGAGAGAACAACGTTCGTGGCAATGAACTGAGGTACGTGGTATGGTGCACGGGGGGCACAAAATGACACATTTATTTGCAAGGCTGCAATACAGTGTTGAAAGAACATATAAATCATTACTACCAAAGGAATGTTGAGCTGTCCAATACCGTACGTTTACTCACAAGTATGAGCACCGACAGTGCATAACCAGACACATCCTTCACGGACCAACTGTCAAATTGTTTAAGGAGAGCAGTGACCCTGTTACCTTGATTGTTGTTCAAATATGGTCTAGGTTAATAATATATTGGTGTCGCAACAAGGTAGCTACTGGTATGTCATTTGTGGTGCAACATTACCAGTGCCATACACAAACAGTTGGGCTGAAAAGCTTTTAGGATCTTTGCAGGGGTGAACTCTGGGTAGACTTGGTGTAGTAGCGGAAGCGTTAATTAAAGTGTTGTGAACCACCTTGCGCTTGTATGTGAGGGCAAAGTAAATTGATTAAAGCAAAGAGATACAAGATTATATAAGAGTACAAGGAATACGAAGAGATACGGTTGCAACTACTTTACTGTTGCTGTTGTGGTTCGATACAGTGACGACTCGGGCAACTGCTCTGCAGCGAGTCAGTTGTGTGTCCTTGCTGTCGCGCTGTACTTGTCAGGTCAAAGGTCGCTGACCTTTGACCTGACCGTAACCTCCGACAGTTACTTCATCCTCCGAGGGTTGACTCGCTGGTGCTTCGATACCGTAGTGTTTTGCTTCGTTTGTGTTTTGGTGTTTCGACACGACACAGGCGCTTAGGACCGATTGTTTCCAACACAAACTCCCATCATGGGGCGTCTCTGCACTGTTGTCCCGTAGGGCAGCTACAATGCATAAATAAATTGCTTGATGTGTTGTATGTTCTTATTTCATGCTTGAGAGGAGGTGACAAACACTTGCTGTTTGGTCACGTGAGTGATGGGGACTGTTTCGAAGCCTCACCCACGCGTTCTGTGACTTGCTTGTTGGCTTGTCACGATGGACTGGACGGTGGGACAAACAGATCCTCCTTATAGGTCTTGTTTGACAACATAGGCCCAATAAGTTCACCCTATGCTGAGACCTGCTACCCGCCTCATCCCCTCCTGCTCCCAGCTACCTGCCTATGCCTCATTCCCCCTTGCTACCAGCCTCATTCCCCCTTGCTACCTGCCTCGTTCCCCCTTGCTACCTGCCTCATTACCCCTTGCTATCCACCTCATGCCCCCTTGCTACCCTACTCATTCCCCCTTGCTACTTGCCTCGTTCCCCCTTGCTACCTGCCTCATTCCCCCATGCTACCAAACTCATTCCCGATTGCTACCCGCCTCATTCCCCCATGCTACATGCCTCATTCCCCCATGATACCCGCCTCAATCTCCCTTCCTACCCGCCTCAATCCCCACTTCATACCCGCCCCATTCTCCCTTGCTAACCACCTCATTCTCACATGCTACCCGCCTCATTCCCCCATGCTACCCGCCCCATTCCCCCTTGCTACCCGCCTCATTCCCCCTTGCTACCTGCCTCATTCCCCCATGCTTCCCGCCCCATTCCCCCTTGCTACCCGCCTCAATCTCCCTTGCTACCCGCCTCATTCCCCCTTGCTACCTGCCTCATTCCCCCATGCTTCCCGCCTCATTCCCCCTTGCTACCCGCCCCATTCCCCCTTGCTTCCCGCCTCAATCTCCCTTGCTACCCGTCTCAATCCCCACTTCATACCCGCCTCACTCCCCCTTTGCTATCAGCCTCATCCCCCTTCGCTCACCCTGTCATTCTCATTCCAGTTGCGTTCCACCAAGCTCCCCGCCCCATTACCAGCTTAGACCCGCCTCATGCCCCACCTCTAACCTCCACCATCGTCTTTCCCCGAAAAAACACAGACCACTTCCTCAAATCGCGACGGTACTGACGGCGCCATTTGAGTGGCGTACCGACAAGCTCACACGCAAGGAGGTTACGGAAACCATCCTCGACCAATGTGTGCATCACACGCATCGCGAACACACGACAGTCATTCTCATTGTCCTGCATTGGAATCTAAAGACACACAGGGTCAATTACGGCAGTGTAAGGCCCGTCCAAAATTGGGGGTTGGTGGAGGAAATCGCGTTGCGAGAAAAAGAGATGCATGGGCTCGGAGCTCGTACAAACAAGGCAATTTCGCTCACCTTGACGTGCCGTAGCGGGATGCTCGCAGCCCATGCATCAGCGTCCGAATCAATGATCCACGAACATCATTTTACGACCTCGTTTCGTAAATACCTGCATATCGGATGATGCTTCTTCAATTATTTAGTTACCCCGTTTTGAGTTACGAGACAACAGCATACTACCATTTGAGAGCGAATACCTGCGCAACGGAGCGTCAACACCGTCATGGGTACCGTTCGAGTCAGCGTGCCATAGCACGCAGTTCATGGGAATCGGGTCGTCGGGTCTCGGGATTCTCTCGATGACGATCAAGCTCCAATGACTCCTAATGCGCAAACGAGGACTAGCATCATTAAAAACGATATTAGCATTGCGAATTATTTCTGGTGCAACGGCACGACGCGGCGAGAACTTACTCGGTATTAATCGGAACTAGAACGTGTGTGAATTCGAATATTCCCAATCCGAAAGTGTAGGCGTTTTCAGGCCTCGGTGTGTCCTTCCGAGCGTATAGTCCCAGAAATAGGATCCAGCGTAAAGCCACTTTGTGCGGTTGAGACCGTGTTCGTACTGCAGCATCCTGCGACGTGCGCAGATTAACGCCAAAATAAAAGCATGAGAGAACCGTGTCGTCACTGTGTAATGAGTCTATATTCGTGATACTCACACACCGAGCCAATCAATCACGATTCCGCTAACCCATTCACCGGGTCGTAGCCTATTGGCGTGGTCTACGGTTATGTCGAGCCAGCCTCCGCCGTAGGGAAAGGGCATGGAGATCGGCTGAAAGGCTAGTTTACTATCTAAGCTTGGAAGAGCCATGGCTGAATGTTCCTGACTTCGAGTTGCGAGTGGCACTGGGGAAATTATGAGGAAGCAGCACCACTTCTGACTCTGTGCTTTGGAGCCACGTTACTATGGGTCACGAGTTGCTTTGCAGGTTGGTGCCACATTCGTTAATTTTCGCTACTCGTACCCTAACCTACCTGAACCTGGAACATGTCTCAATCGCATGGACGACATTCGCCAGAGGGCCCCACTTGTCGGGGCTCTTTGGCAATGGGGTCTGGTTCCCCATCTGCTGACATCACATATACATCCCCCTTAACAGGGGGAGAGCCAATCAAAACATCGGAACGACGAGGTGGAACACCTTCTCGGGGCTAGCGATTCCACGCGTCAGACTCTCACCAATAACTTGGTGGCTGTTGTGAATGTGTCCTTTTTCCCCGATTTGGGCACGCGCCATCCCTAATAATGTTACGGCGCGCAGAGGTCCGTCCACTCCACACATCCACTCTCCCATCTTATGGGCGCAGTAGTGGATGCCCGTTAGATGAAATCTAACGGTGAAGACAGGATGAAATCCTCCAGCTGTTTAGGGTTCCCATCTGACAGCCTAACACGTTTGTTGCACGAAGCAGCGTGATTGGTGCATACGTGTAGGGCTGTCAGAAATAATCCTGGAAGAATCGGAGCCAGGCCCCTGGAATTCATCGAGTTTTTCCCTTGCTCGATCTGTTGTTCAGTGTGGTTTTGTCACTTCCCGCTCCGTGAAATTGATTTTGACGTTCATGTTACTCTCAGTACCTTGACATGTGTAAAATCGTACCCTATAATTCAGTATAAGAGAGTGTCGTCTGCCCTAATGTTTTCGCATATAGGACATTCCAACACTGCTAGGGCTCTTGTTGCTCTCGAATTTCGACTAAGTCTCTGGCATCTGGCTTGGGCACTGGAACTCTCGGAATGCGGACAAGAATATGGAAATATACTCGAAATGTGTATTGAGACACTGTAATAACCTGGAAGTTTAACTAGTTCGCATCTAGTACGCACTGGACATTTTGCAAAGTCTAAGGGCACAATAGAAACTCGTCTAAATCACTGGAGACCGTGTGTATTCCCCGAAGTTGCCCAAACACATTGGAAATTAGGCTACGTCACACGAGCACTCGGAAGTGCAGCGCGTCACAAAAACACACTGCAAGTTTCGCTAAGTCCCCGGGACACGCCAGTGAGACGCCCTTCCACCTTAATTTTCCACGCTAAGTACTGCTCGACAGTGATGCGCTCTTCCCGCCAAACACTCCGATCCAGGATTC